CCCCGTGGGGGGGGGTTTTTTGATTTTTTTGGGAGCCCCGGAGGCCGGGGGGGACTGGTTCGGGCCCTTCTTGGTGGCCATGGGGGGGGGTTTAGCCTGGGGGACCAGGGCTTTTTACCGGAGCCCCGCCGGCACCGCCCCGGGCTTGTTTTTAAAGCACAGGGCCCCCCGGGTAAGGGGGCCCCCGGCTCCGGGACAGGGACGGGGGGGTAGGGGGGGCAGAAGCCCATTTTTGGGGAGGGAACGCCCTTGTTGGGGCGGGTTGGTGTCCCCCTTTTTTTGGATCATTTTGTGGGGTTCTTGGGTTTGGGCTTAAGTTTGGGCGGGGGGGGTTCACACCCTTTTTGGTTTGGGGGGGGGGGGGGGGGCACACGGTGAGAAAGGAGTGCTATGGTATGAGTCATGAGCTCGCGCCCGCACACACATATCCGAACGGAGAGTCAGCGTCCCCGCCCTTCCGTAATTTGGTCATGTGTGTGCGGTACGCAGGCATTATCGGCTGGCGCTGGCACCCCAGTGCCTACTGGTGGTGGTGGTGGTGATGTTGCAACGGGGGGAAAGGGTGGAGCGGCGGTGGCGGTGGCCGGAGGGGGGGCGGAAGAAGGGAAGGAGGCGCAAGGGGCGGGGGCGACTTGGGGCACCGAGGACGTGGAGGCCCAACAGGTATATACCGTGGAAGCCTCTCGGCTGTTGCTAGAATGTTGCTTTCATGTGGAATTCTTGCGGTTGGTTGTGTGTACCGGGTGTGCGTGTGTGTGATTGTGGCGTTGGAGGAATTCGGTTGGTTCTGATTGTTGTCTTCGTGTCCCTGTAAGGGCGACGAACCTTTTGCTATCGACGTCAACGAACGCACAGCTTCCGAGCGTTGGTGCTTTGCATTGGGGGGTGAGAGGCGGCCGAGCACGCGTTCCGACAAGAAACACTCTATTCCGTCGCGCGCAGATTCTCGACATCCTAACGGATGACTACCGGGAGGGGGCGAAGTCTCACGAGGTGGCGACTGTCGCTGCTGCGGAGGAAGGGCTGCCGCCCGAAGACTGCGCCGCCGCGGCCGATGCCGGTTCGAAAGCTGTAGCAGATATGCGAAACGTCCCGCCGCCGGAGGAGGCGGCGGCCTCTTCTGCTCCGCGCCAGGTGCGTTGTGCCTGCGGTGTGTGCACGTTGCCCCCACTTGGTTGTTCTTGAAATGGCGTACACCCTGTTGTTGGTGTGATGTTTTTGTGAGGTCTTGAGTTGTCTTTTAGCTGGTTCCATGGTCGTCCACATCTTTCGATGTTCGAAACATGGATTCGCCAGAGGATAAGAGTCGGGTCGGATTCGACCGAAGCAGCTGCTAGAGAGCGTTTTCTTTTCTTGTCGGTACCAGGTGCGATCAACCTCTCGCGCCTCGTGTCTTCTGTCGTTGTGTAACTCATTTGTGGCGTGGTTGCTGCCATTGTTGTGGCGGTGCTCGTGAGTGTTTTCACGTATACATATCTTGGCCGGCGTCGCCGTACAGCAGTAGTTGTTCCTGTTGCTTCAAGGCCAGCGGCAGTTTGCTCAACTCCGGTGCGTTCAAATGACACACGGCTCTCGGTGATTTTGGCATGCTTTGCAGCTGATTCCGATCTGGTTTGTTTCTTGTCGTCCCGACGACCAAAATAACGCATCCCTGCACCCTCCGTACCAAAGGAGGGTACCCTCCGAGGTCTACAACTAGGTTAGTCATTGGGTCGAGACCCGGGTTAGACACTTTGAGGTGTTTTTTTTCCTGACACCCTGGATACTCCCGGCCAGGGTATCGGTGACGGAAAGACTCGTCTGAGACCCTCTAGAACATTCTGCAGGATGTGTGGTGGCGAGTGATACGGTATGAAGCGAAATTAAGAATGGACGGAGAGTTGCGCTGGCAAGGGGAGTCACCTTGCTTGGAACAGTTAGCGATGATTAGTCTAATGGTTTGATTTCGGCTTCCATAGATCCAATGAGGTTACCCTCTGCAGTTTCGTGCCAAAAGGAGGCACCCTCTCTGTACTCTCGGGCATTGAAGAGAGCGTCCCGAGCGAAAAGAGCGCGACCCGTGCTGCCTCGACCGAAGTACGTGGACCTCAAATTTACCCCATACACTATGCATATGTCCTGGAACGCGCCATATAGCACTGTAAGGACCAAGGGACACAAGCAAAGGCGAGAGGTATGGGATGCCTTACCGAAAACCAAATGCGGAGGGACCCAAGGAACACCTAGAGTCTACACAGTATGATTGCAAATGAAGGAAACATGAGTAGCTCCTGGCCAGCCAAACCAACCTCAACGAGTTGACGTGGTACAGGGACGTCCCCAGTACAGCGACGAGCAATTGGTCGGGTTTAGGCTTGGGGTGAGAGTTCCCTGAGGTCAACCCAGGGATATTAAGAACTAACAAGGCGGGGCTTGTTTTCTCTCTGCCTTCGATCGTGCATCGGCAGACTGCCGTGCGTGAACGAAACCGCCCGGTCTCGAAACGGCTTAGGGATGGCGGTTGCGTGCTACAGAACTACAATATGACAACAGTCGGGGAACCCTCGGCGTACGGTGCTAATCTGTCGACGCTCTGCGCATGGTGCTGTTCTGTTGCGCTGCGTGCGGCAAACTGACCCGCCTGCCGACACGACGCAGCATGAATGCCTCGGAAGTTGCGCGATCGTCTCGTAACCTCTGCAGCTTTGGCGTGCTGCTGTACCGTATGTGTTGTTTTTCGCGACGTAGCGCGGCGCAACGGTGGGAGGGGGCGACAGCGCCACCATATGCGGACGGTGCCAGATAGAGCGACCACCCGGGGCTGTCCATTGCACCCTCTGCGGCGTCTGCGTGCAGAAGCTGGATCACCATTGCCCTTTCATGGGGCAATGCGTCGGCAGGTGGGTCGATGCGTATCGTCGTGGTCTGGAGCGAAACCCAGTGGGCTGGTTTGATTTTGCTCTCTTGGAACTACCGCCTTCTGGGCGGAATCATGAAGTTCAAAGGGCTCCTTGATTTCGTACACGTTTTGTGTAGTAGACGCTGCCTTGAAATCGATGCTGATACTTGGCTAAAAGGCTCGTGCATCCATTAACTCATGCTAAGACGTACGTTGTTTTTTTTCATAAGAAACGCACTGCGGAGACTGCATCGCACCAGTGCCGCCGTTTGCGGTCTCTCTCGTCTGTTCCAGTGCTTGTTCATGTCCTATTTTTCAAATTCCCGCCCCCAACCATAGTGATACCGTATGGAGAAATGGGCTGTGGAAACAATTGTCCAAGTACGGGATCAAGGGGAAAATGTGGAGGGTGCTGAAGAAGATGACAGAGTGTACGAAAAGCGCGGTCATGCTAGACGGAGAACTGTCTAAATTCTTCGACATTGAGCAAGGGGTCCCACAAGGTTGCACGCTGTCCCCAACATTGTTCCAGGTGTTCATCAACGATCTGTTGGAAGTCGTAGAGGCAGTCCGGAAGGGAGTAAAAGTAGGGGACACGGAAACTTCGGTGTCAGGAATGCTGTTTGCGGATGACTTTGTTGGTATGTCGGACACCCCTGAGGGACTGCAACTGCAAATTGACGCGGCGAAGAAGTTTACTGATAAGTGGAGATTGTCTGCCAACGTTGCGAAGAGTGCCGTCATGGTATGCAACGAGGGCAGGAAGGAACCAGTAGAACATAGATGGAAGTGGGGGATCGAGGAGATTGCAGTAGTGGACCAGTACACATACCTCGGAGTAGAGATCGCAAAAGATTGCTCGTGGAATGCACACATGTCCAAGGTAGCGGAAAAGGGCAAAGCACGAGCAGGGAAGCTGCACCCAATACTCGCAAACCGGCACCTTGATACACGCATCAAACTGACGGTTTTGAAGAGCGTAATCGTACCGCCGCTAGAGTACGCCGGAGAAGTATGGGAAGGAAATAAGAAGGTAGTGAAAGAACTCGAGGCGGCGCAGATGAAAGCAGCGAAAATCATCCTAGGATGCTCCAAGCGCACAAGTAATGCAGCAGTCAGGGCAGAATTGGGGATCCAATCCCTACCGTCGGGAAGAGACCTAAGGAAGCTGACATGGCAGTATCGCATGTGCGGGATGGGAGAGGAGAGGTTGCCGAGAATAGTATGGGAGGCGAAGTGGGCAAACAAAAAGAGGGGTAGACAACCCACGGAATGGGTCAAGGTTGTAGAGGACGTATGGAAGGGATTGGACATCGACGAAGATGAAACGCTGGAAACGGAGGGTCTACAGGGGTTCAAGAAGAAGATATCTGTTGCTTGTGCCGACAGAGAAGAACAGAATCTAAGGAAAGAATCCAAGGATAAGGAGGGTCTAGAAGTGTACGGAATGTTGAAAGAAGGAATGGGGTTCAAGGATTACCTACATGGACCAATGGATGCAGGGACAAAGCTTAAGGTCAAATTCAGGACCGGGGACATAGGCCTTCGCGAACGTCGACGAAGACATAGGACGGTAGACGACGAAGACGACAAGTTCAAATGCGATTGCGGCTTCGAATGCGAAGACAGTGTTCATGTAGTCGCGGAATGTCCGTGGTACGAAAAGGAGAGGGAAGTGTACATGACTGAGCTGGGAAGAATACAAGGGACGTACAGGGAGATGTTTGAGGCATGGAATGGAGAGGAGAGGACGGTAGCGGTACTGGGGAGTAGAAAGTGGTTTGAAAAGGCGGGAAGTGACATCGGTAGGATAGACAAACTAGGGAAGACATTTTTGAGCCACCTTTGGCAAAGTAGGAAGGAACGATTGGCCATCGGTGATCGGTCCTGTGGGAACAATGCTCCGTCCTCTCGAGGACGCGTGGTCAATGGTCTAACCGCTAAGGCATGCAAAGCATAAAGAGTACGCCCCCCCCCCCCCCCCCCACCCAAATGGGCCAAAAAAAAACGAGAGTAATTTTCTCCCAAGGGACCCCCCCCCCCCCACCGGCA